GTCGCGTCTGGTTCCTGCCTCCTCCCCGCTTCCTTTCCTTGCCAGCCTGCCAGGGCATGGGGGAGCCCAGCACTGTCCTCAGCAAAAGCTGGTGTGTTTTTTTTTAGGTCCAAAAATAAAGGAACCCTGGAATGAGCCTGCTAGGAACCAGGCCTAGAGGGAAAAAAGGGGAAGCGCCAGACGAGGGTTCTAGTCACTGATCTGGTGGGTTTAAAACAAACACCCATACCCCAAGAAGGGAGTAGCTGGTAAGGAAGGTTTGGTGGGCGAGAGTGGGCCAACAGCCTGGCAAGGGCCGTCAAAGCTACAGGTGCGCATATCCCTGAATCCTCCGCCCCACCCCTCACGCTTCTAGGCCTCAGCAGGGAGCAGGAGTGCCAATGGGTTCCCACTGGCCCGCACCGGAGGTGGGGATTTCCAAGATCCAGCTTCGCAGACCCATCGCCGCCGGCGCTTTCCTGCTGGGGCTGCCAGAAGGCGGGACCTCAGAATGGGAAGCCCTCCCTTGCAAGCCTTGCTGTCCCTGGGTCAAGTCTGGTACAGACTGGCAACCGTCACTGCTGTCCCTGGTCGGGGTGAATGGGCCAGGTTCTCCAGATATTTTAACTTGCCGGAACTGGGTGGTTCTTCCCAAAACTCAGGAGGCAAGGAGGAAAGCAGTGTTTAGGATTGAGTACATCTGTTGTTTGAGTTGGACTTGGCTGACCCTGAATAGCTGTGTGACCTTGAGCAAATCACTTGAACTTTGGTTTCTTAGTCTGTAAAATGGGAATAATTGCACTGTCTCCTTTGCCTCATGGGTCTGTGTAAAAAATACAATATTATAATGTACTTAATCAAATGTAAGAGATGATGAATGATATAAAACTAACATTTGTTTAGAGCTGCTAAGTTCATTCCCAGACATTATCTCACCAATCTCTACAGCAGCCTTGTGAGGTAGGTGTTACTTTCATCACCCTCCTGTATAGGTGAGGAAAGCAGGTCCAGAGCTGGTCCACAATTACTGAAAACCAGGTTATCTGGCTCTAACCCCAACATTCCTTCTTCTATCCTCACCGTTTGCTAGCTTTGGGGGGGGATGGGGGTGGGGAGTCAGGGGGCAGATGCCTCTAGGAAATGGCAAAAGTCAAATGCCTCTCCCCACAGGAGTTTTCAGGTTAAGAATACCAATACTATCCCAATAGTTGCAAGATTATGCACAAATTAGCACCAGTTATTTTGAGGTTAAAATCAATCACCATTCAGCTTTGGGCAAAATCCTGTAGCCATGCTTCCCTGGCATCCCCTGAGATCTCTCTCTCTTCCTGGGTTTTCTGTACCCTGGCGCTAGACAGAGGTAATGGAGGAAAATCTGAAGCTCTAGAACACACTGAAGTATTTAGAAATTTTACTGAGTTGCTCTTACTGGGGATGGCTGCATTTTAAATGTCCACACCTAAGGAGGACCCTAGTCCAGATGACAGGAGGGGGAAATTGGACAGGGTGCATTTTATGGTGGAAGGAGCCTCTTCTCAGACCAGCAGATCATACCGCACAAGTAACAACCCTTTGTTCTCACCTAGTTCAAGTCACCCCTACTGTGGGCACATCCACCCAATGCGTACTGTCTTATACTTGAGGTGGAGGCCACTTGATGACTATGGCAGGCTGCTGCCCTCAAAGCATTGCTAGCCTAGGGGAGGCCTATAACCCTAGAAGAGGTCACATCTGGCCTAGGTATCATTGGGGCTAGAAATCAAGGGAGCAGGTGGCCCCCCAACCCTGACCCATGTAAAGAACCACCATGCTTTAACCTGAATCTTCTTCACTGGCCAGACCCAAAGGATCCAAGTCTGATGTGTCCCTAGTGGGTGTGAAACTATTCTCATCACTTATATTTTGTTTCAAAGCTGAAACTTGGCTGCCAGATGACCTGGTGGATTTACTCCTTAACTTGTGCCCCTCCATTTGCCATTCATTCAGTTATTCAACTATTTACTTAGAGAGCAATTTCTTTCTCAGTCCTGTGGATTTAATGATGAACCAAGCTAGGTTGGCTTCAGCCCAAAATCTAGAAGTTTCCATTTCCTCCTAGGTGTCCTAGTTTCCTGATGCAATAGCCCAGAAGTCATTAGAGGCAGTGCTTGTTCAACACTTC